TTCTCCCTTCTCTCTGCCTTCCCTCTGCCTGCCTTGCTGCCGCCATTCCTTCCCTTGTCCCTCAGCGAGGAAAGAAATGAAAGCAGGGTGTGGGCTCTGCTTTCTAAGTTCTCCCAGTTTGTTTCAGCAGAGTTGGGCTTTGCTTGTTCACGTCCGTTTGAAGCGCAAACTGTCTTCTGAACTGGAGAGGCCCTTAGGGATCTGGGGTCCAGCACCTTGATTGTACAGATGAGAAAACCAAGGCTTAGAAAAGCTGAGAGCTGCGGGCTCTGGAGTCAGCTGGTTGTGGCTTCTCTGACCCCCTCATCTGACGTTCCTCCCTCTCCTGTTGGTTTCATGACCCCTCAGTCTGTAAGTGAGGAGGGTGGGGCCTGGCAAGAGAGATAAGCCAAGGTCATGCGGTTTAGTTTCTGGCAGAAGGACTCGACCTTTACAACTAAATATGCTCTTCCCAGTTTATCACACAGCTTCCCTTAAAAAAAGTACTGCTAAATAGAGACAAATCTACTGCTTTGAGTACCTGATGGGCTGGGAAGTGTGCCTAAGGCTCGTAAAAATATAATTCGTGTCATGGTGTCATGAATTTAATACATCTCAAGTGAGTGACTGTACTAGCTCTATGAAACATGTGCCGCTCAATTAGCAATGATTTCACTTGCATCTTTAGAAATTAAAAGGCTTTTAAAGAAGAGTTTGGAAGACCCATGGCTTTTGATGTGAAAAAAAAAAAGCTGTCCAGAGAGTTTTGAACAGTTGTCTTCCTCTTCCTCCTCCTCTTCCTCTGTCTTCTTCTCCTTTTTTTCTTCTGGATAAAAACCCTGTAGAAAGGAGGCCATTTAGAATCAAGCCCTTTGGCTGTTCCTTCCAAAACGAGGCACCCCAGTGCCCACAGTTCTGAAGGCATCTTGCAGAACTTTGTTGCTAGACTGAGGAGCAGGAGTCTCCTGAATTTGGTCTTTTACAATTCCATTTTTTCTATGCTTTTCTCTCTTTCTTATTTTTTTGGGGGGGTGGGGGAGAGTGCCTCCTCCCACCAATATTCCCATCCAAGCCAACTCAGGAAGCCTTGAAAGAAATAAAGTGGGGTTGGGGGCAGCCTTAAGTCATGGGAAAGAGTGAGGCGGAGGCTGAGGGTGGGGGGGAAGGTGCGGGCTGGAAGCATCTGATGGAACTCCCAGGGGGCGCTCGGCATAGGGCGCTGCTGAGGAAATGGCAGGTGCCCAGGGAGGGGCACTGCAGGTGAATCACAGCTGTCACTGGTGGCAGAACAGTCTGGGATCAGTAGGAAGGCCCCCCAAGAATGAGGGGTGGGTAAGAAGGAGGCAGCATTAAATCTAGGGAAACCTGGGGAAACCTCTGAACTGCAGGGAGGAAGTGAGTGGTGTAATTACGATGACTCCATTTTTCTGAAATCTCAGCCAGGATGAGATGGAATCTCTGATGGCTGTCTTGTCCTTCCGTGTTATGGTGGCTACATAGGTAACGAGCAAGAGTAAGAATATTAGTGCTGGAGCTGGCGAGGGAGAACTTGATCTGGGAAGTAGCTTGGCTGGAAGGAGGGCTGGGCTGCAAACAGCAAGAACTATTCGTGAAAACCCCCTTTTGACTCTTCCTGTGTGAATGAAGGTGAGAATACATGGCACCACGTCCGAGTGATGTCATTAATTGTATGGCACTTGAGCCCACAAGGTACACACCACAATGAGTTGTAGGGGGGATTGATCCCATGGAAAACACTGTTTGGGTCAGATCTGCTGGGATTAGAAAATTAGAACTACATGGGACATCCATGGCCACAGCAGTGGGAAAGGAAGTGACATTTTTCCCTGCAGAAGCCCAGGATGCAGCTCTGTGTAACACAGGAGGATGGAGAGGAGGCTCTCAGAGAGGTACACAGGAGGCGAAGGGAGTGTGGGCAGGGGGAAATTAATTCCCCCTGGGAGAATCTGGAGTTGCAGCCACACCAGCTTCCTGTCAGCTAAGCAGTTCACCCTCTCTACTTAATGCTGGGAGCTCGCTTTTCTGTTCCGGGGGCCAAGATCGGATGTGCCAAGGTTTTCAAAAGAACATCTCAGGGGACAAGCATTTAGGAGCCTGGGCTTGCTGGCAGCTTGTTGAAAGGAGAATTAGGGAGCAGGAGGAAGGATTTTATCCTATCTGTTCCCCGTCTGTTCTCAGAAACAGTAAAGCTTAAAATCCTTCATAACAACAGGTCAGTGTCCTCGTGAGACATTAGGCATCTAGGATAAACGTACCCATCTTATAGACGAAGAAATTGAGGAAGTTAGCCACAAAATCATAGCCAGAACCAAGAGTCTTTACTCCCATTTCATTTCCTTAAAGAATGCGAAACATGAAATCTAGAAAAGCACATTGAGATTACGTAAAAGGTAAAATTTAAAAAAATACGGAAATGGGGGAAGGGTATATTTCAGTGGTAGAGCATGTGCTTAGCATGCATGAGGTCTTGGGTTCAGTCCCCAGTACCTCCATTGAAATAAATAAATAAAAACCTAATTACTCTCCAAATATGGAAATTAAATGTTATATAATATCTGAGTTGCATTAATTCTACCCTCACATTTCAAGAGAAGAGGAGGATGCTTCCTCTTCAAATCTGACTTTTAAAATCTGGCCAGTGGGTCTAGAAAGGGAAGGTGCCCAGCGGTGAGGATGGGAGGGAGACCCGGTGTGAAAGCAGAATCATAGAGCAGTAAAACTTGCAGATCGTGTGCCCGGCACGAGCCTGGGGCAGGGTAGATGCTCAACAAATGTTTGTTCCTTTCCTCCAAGGAGGAACTAAAAGCTCCCCTGCCTCCCCAACAACTATCACTCAGCAAGCTGGCGTGGCCTCGGCACAGTCACGGTGGATTAATGGACAATTAGGGCGTTGTTCAGATACCTGCAGATAACATTTGACATTGGACGGAGGCTCACTCTAAAGCTTTTTGCTTTATGAATTGTTTGCATGATTATGATCATATAAGCCGGATTGGGAAAAAAAAAATCACATGCATTTGCTTCCTTCAGCATTCTCTTCTTGCAAATCAGATATCCTGAATAGCATCTCCGTGTTTTTCACCCGTATCCTCACCTCGACCATGTAGTTAAGACATGGGATTGAAGTCTTGGGGGAGGGGGTATAAGAACACAAATAACACGAATTAAGTTTCTGCTATTAACTGGGAACTGTGCTTGGGACATATGTTTGTCTTGGTCTGGTTTTACAACAGCCATCTTCTTCTCATTCACAATTATAGATGAGGAAACCAGGGCTCAAAGAGGATTATGAATTATCCAAGGTCATTTAACTAAAATATGATGAAACTGGGGCTTAACTGCAAAGCGTAGGTTTTTTATATTCTTTTATGCTAACTCTGTCCTAGGAGTTGAGAAGTCCTGGTTCTGTAACTCGTGGTGCCTGTGTGGAGGGTGTTGTCGTAGCTGTCAGAAGGGGGAATACCAGGCCCAGGGCGAAAGGAAGAGAAGGTATCTTTGCTTCACCCAAAACAATATTGAGACCTAACATTAGTATCGTGTGTCACGGTTTTCAAAATACTTCCATGAACTTCCCATTTTATAGCTAAGGATACAGAGCCTCAGCATTTAACTCAAAGTCACAGAGCCAGTAAACGGCAAAACTGGGACTCAAACCCTGAACGTCCGACGTTAAGTTCAATTCTAGCATGCCACAGGGCCTCTCCCGTGTAGTTGGCCGCCTGGACCAAGGAAGGACCGTGGGTGAGTTTAGGTGTGGATGCTCTGTATCCTCGGTGACTTGATGGGTCTTATTATTATTTTTTAAATTGAGGTATAGTCAGTTACGATGTGTCGATTTCTGGTGTACAGCATAATGTCCCAGTCATGCATATATAGTGTTCATCCACCTCTGGGTGTCACTGAGGAGCCCGACTTCCTAATCATTTAATGTGACCATCGGGCAATACATGATTACCGGCTGGCCAGAGCAATATGCCCTTGGATCTTGGAGTGGCAGAGCTGATGGTTTTAAAGACTTCTGGTTACAGGAAAGAAAATTCTCTGCTCTTTGACTGGCTACAGTGTATTCAGGTGTGGCGTGGGAAGGAAAGAGTCAAGATCGTTTGCAAACTGACAACTCTTTTGAAACGTCCTAGTTCAGCTTCTTTCTGGAAGAGGATGTGAATTTCCCCATATCACATTTGTGCTCTCCAAAATCACTTGTTGAAACTCTTCCTGGCTCAGATGGAAAAGCAAGGGGAACTCGAAGGCTGGTATTGAGGGCCTCTGGCAGTCTCTAAACCCGTCATCTCTTTCATCAGCTGAACTGGGTGGCGAGACTCCCCAGGCCTGAGTGGTAGCTAGCCTCCCTTGGGTTGGTCCAGAGCAGGGAGCAGCATTCTGTAGAAGTTCCTTTTTCAGATTGAGAAACTCACATTCTAATCTCCTCTTTTGATGATTTTACAAAAATCGAATTGCATGACAGATGCCCAGATAAACAGAAGTTTGCAATCAAAGCAAGTTCTGGGATGGAACTGATTAGTAGATTTTTAATGGCTATTTGCTTGATAATCACCAGCAGTAGCTTCCAGGCAGACCAAACCCATTAATAAGCGAGCTCACACCCATGCACACAACACCTAGTTGGCGGATATAAAAGAGGACCATGTCAGTCTCCTGACAGCAGAATCGAGTCTCCAGCCTTAACGCTTCTCAGGAAACTTCACTTTTCCTCTCTGGGCAAAGGCATCATGAGTTGTCAGATCTCGTGCAAATCTCGAGGAATAGGAGGAGGAGGTGGAGGAGGATTCCGGGGCTTCAGCAGTGGTTCAGCTGTGGTCTCCGGTGGGAGCCGGCGATCAGCCACCAGCTTCTCCTGCTTGAGCCGGCACGGTGGTGGCGGCTTTGGCAGTCAGAGCCTTGCTGGTCTTGGAGGGACCAAGTACATCTCCGCTAGTGTGGCTGGAGGAGGTAGAAGCTTTAGCTCCATTGGAGGATTTGGTGGCAGAAGAGGTGGCTTTGGAGGTGGCATCGGCTTTGGAAGTGGCATCGGCTTTGGAGGAGGGGAGGCAGTGGCTTTGGAGGAGGCAGCGGCTTTGGAGGCAGCCGTTTTGGTGGAGGTGGTAGAGGCCGGTTTGGAGGTGGTGGTGGCTTTGGAGGTTTTGGAGGTCCTGGTGGCTTTGGGCCTGGAGGATTCCCTGGTGGAGGCATCCATGAAGTGTCTATCAACCAGAGCCTCCTGCAGCCTCTCAACGTGAAAGTTGACCCAGAAATACATAATGTGAAGTCCCAGGAGCGGGAGCAGATCAAAACTCTCAACAACAAATTTGCTTCCTTCATCGACAAGGTGAGTCACGAGAAGCTGACTCCATCTGATGCTCAGGATTGCCCTACTTTCAGTGCTAATCGGACAGCAAATGACAGAGATTTTTTATTTTAGGAGCCATGGGTGTGGTCATACTGACCTGAGTAGTTGCCAATACCCACGTGGGAAAGATGCTGACTTCGTGGGCTACATCTTTCATAACAGTCTGCAGTCAGGGATTATTTGTGCCTTTGGCTTTATTGTTTCAGCCTAAACAAACAATACTTATGGAAAATTCTGAAAATCACAGAACAGATATAGACAAGTAATAGACGGACTAGTTTAGGCCAAGTGATAGCAGGTTTTGGAAGGGATTAGTAAGACATCTTCTGAGATCGTCCTTCCTTCCCTAGAACTGACTGCTGTATTACATTCGGGGAAGTTGAACCTGAGGTGTCTACTTGGGGATGAACGCAACTCCTGACTTCAAGAGAAGTGTTCTCAGTTTTGTGACTCATAAGGCCTTTATTGGTGCCACTTTGGAGTGTGACAGGCTTTCTCCCATTTCAAGGCTGAGGAACCTGTCTAAGGGATTTACAAGGCTCTTCAAAACCAGGTCAAGGAACCCTGCCCTCCAGGGCTCTCACACTCATAACCCTTAGGAGCGGTGCCAGTGGATGCCTGGCTTTTGGTTTTCCCCAGAATTTATGGGACCTTTGCCAGGAATTCAACTAGAATCGGGAGGGAGATGGCCTGGAGTGCTGGGAGCAGCTGGAACCAAAATAGTGGGCAGTGAAGTAGGGGAGAGTTCTCTGTGTGGAGAGCACCAGGCATCACACTAGGAGCCTACTGAACTTTCCAAGTGTGGAGGCAGAGAGCTCAGAACCTCTGTCTGGCAGGATCTGGCCTCCCGCTGGTGAGGATGAAGCCACATAGTTGTCTCCATCACCCGAGGCAGGACCAGAGCTGACTCTGGCGTGTGTGGCCTGTTGAAGGGAGGGGCAACCCAGAGCTCACGCGCTTTCCCTCTGGTCACCGCAGGTGAGGTTCCTGGAGCAGCAGAACCAGGTGCTGCAGACCAAATGGGAGCTGCTGCAACAAATTGACGTCAGCACCCGTACCACCCGCCTGGACCCCCTCTTTCAGGAGTACATTGGCAAACTGCAGACTTACGTGAACACGCTTTCTGCAGAAAGAACATCACAAGATTCAGAGCTGAACAACATGCAGGATCTTGTCGAGGATTTTAAGAAGAAGTAGGTGGCAGAGTAAAAACTCTACGTGGAGACAAATGTTGATCTGAGCTGTCCAGTCGTTGCCCCAGAAAACCACTCATCTTCCAGTTGCATTTATGGTGATGAAGGGGAGGAGCATCTGTATCTTTGCTGGTTATTTGTGAGGAAGACAGTTAGGGCTTTAGAGATAATGTTTTTTACATGTTTTCAATGATAGAAAAGCATCCTCATTTGGGGATATCATACTTTCAGTTTAAACCAAAGTGTTTTACATTCCCAGAGAATGGAGTCTTTTGGGTGAATCCAGTAGGAAAAAGAAAAGAAAAAAGTAAACAAACCAGAGCTAATCTAACAGCTGCGTCCCTGTGTCCCAACAGGTATGAGGATGAAATCAACAAGCGCACAGATGCTGAGAATGATTTTGTGAAACTTAAAAAGGTGAGTGAGAGAATGTCATGGCCGAGGTGGGAGTGAGGGCGCTTCAGCAGCCCGCTGGGCTCAGACAGACAGGCCGGAGCACACCTCTGCGTGACAACAGCAGTAACCAGGGAGAGGGGTGAGGTGCATCCATGGCTGGTTCTCCTGGAATAAGGGTGTCTCTGTAGGTCAAGCTTCTGGACACGTTCTGCACATTTGCTAGAGCATTTCCTATCAACAGCCGACTCGAAGCCTATATTGAATCATGCAAGATGCAAACAGAGAAAGCACTTCATTCGTCTTCTAAAGGGCTGAGAAGGGAATGGGACTTCCTTAGAATGCCTGTTTAAAGATGCTATCAGTTGGGCCGACCAAGGTTTGAGCCAGAAGGCAAAAGTGTGGATTTTCAGCCTGGTTCCTGCAGAGGCTTTGGTGTAAAATTCAGAGAATTCAGGAGAGGTGGGATGGACAGGCAGGGTGGGAGAATTGAGGACTGTTAAAAGCCACAGAGGCCATTGCACTCCTTAGTAGAAAAACACGTCTCAAGCCAGAGGGAGAGAATGCTTGACAAAGCTTGGTCCCATCAGAGCTCTGATGGTCTTGGGCGAGTGTGAGCAGTGACGGGGGAGTGTGAGCAGTGACGTGGGCGTGGAGCCCCCAGCAGACGTGCACTGCAGACTCCATGCCAAATGAGGTCCTGTGGAGATGTGGCTTATCTGGGATTTTGGAGAGCAGCTAACAGGGACTGGCTGGAGGAGCGGCAGGGAGGGGGCAGGGCCCGTACACAGAGTGCTGCAAGATGAGGGGTGGGGGGCATGAAATTCATCAAGGGCCCCTGACCTTCCCTGTAGGACGTGGACAATGCCTACAAGAACAAGGTGGACCTGCAGGTCAAGGTGGACATGATAAACCAGGAGATTGACTTCTTGAAAATCCTCTTTGATGCGGTAAGGAGGCTGCTCCTAGAGAGATCCTTATTTCCACCCTTCTCACCAAAGGAAGTCCCTCCCTGTTGGTGGGTGGAATTCATTGACGGCTGACTTCAGCTTGCCCTGGTTCCAGGCCACAGGGAGCATCTGTGGAGTAGATCTTGGAGGAGAGAAACTTTTTCCTCTGATGTCACAACTTCTCTCTCCAGCTCCTCTTAGGAAGAGACCTGTCCTGTTTCTATCCCTATGTCCAAAATTCTTCAAAGGTCAAAATGTAATATATTTACCATTTACCTGCCCAAGTGCACACACGTGACTTCTGAAACAGGAAGTACAATTTAAGGCATTTGCCATCGACTGACTTCTTCCTGGGGGCACTTTATCAAAACTGCATAAATGGTGAAGGCTGTTAACTAGGAGGCTCAGAAATGCAGAGTCCTCCCCATAATTCTCAGTGCGACCTGGCAGAGACCTAAAAAATGGCAGCTGTATTGTTTTAAATCCCCCTCAGTGCACGACTAGTCCGAGAGTCTGTATTTTCCAAACAGCGAGAAGGGGAATCTCCCTTAATTGCCTTTGACTGTGGGCAGGGATGCCATGGCCAGACCTCTTGTGTGTTGCAGGAGCTGTCTCAGCTGCAACAGAATGTCACGGACACCAATGTCATCCTGTCCATGGACAACAACCGCAGCCTGAACCTGGACAGCATCATCTCCGAGGTCAAGAGCCAGTATGAAGAGATCGCCCAGAAGAGTAAGGCTGAGGCTGAGGCGCTGTACCACAGCAAGGCAAGTTCTGGGAGGGCAGGGAGAGCCCCGGCTTCGTCTAGCAAGCTGGGCTCCACCCCGGCTAGAAGGGTACCATCAGCTTAGCGGTGTTTTTATCTAGTGGAAATCGGGCATCATTCCCAAGAAGGAGTGTCCACAGTGCCCCAAATGCCCTCAGTCGAAAATGGCAGAGTCCTTTTCGGGGTGTGAGATGGTTCCCCATCACCTAAGGAAGCAGACATGACTTTCGGCTTGGCTGACCCTCCCTGGACAGTATCAGACTTTCTTGGCTCCTGCCAAGCTACCCCCAAGCTGCCACTGTCCTCTCCCTGCACAGTACGAGGAGCTGCAGATCACTGCTGGGAAGCACGGAGACAGCCTGAAGGAGGTCAAGATGGAGATCAGCGAGCTGAACCGTGTGATCCAGAGGCTGCAAGGGGAGATCTCCCAAGTGAAGAAGCAGGTGGGGCGCGGCCCGGGAACTCCGGTGGCTCCCCTGGCTGAGTGGGGCTCGGGGTAGGGTGGGAGGCTGGGTATAGATGTGTGTGTGAAAGAGAGAGAGAGAGAACTGAGAAATCGAATCTAGCAGGTGCTAATCCCAAACGCCTCAAGTGTAATATAATTTAAGATTTATAACAATTTTTAGAGTGGTCTAAGAGGCATCCTTAAGTGGGGATTAGTGCAGGGAGAGAACTGTGTTTGACTTCTGGATTGCTTTCACAGGTGAAATGGAACAATAACACATAATATATGAAGCTAGAGGTCATGGCTTGCTGTGTATCGCAGGCATCGCTTCCTGTTCATACCCGTTTGTCCTTGGAAAAAGCCCTAAGCACCAGCCAGCTGTGTGACGCAGGGGCAGTGAGGGTTGCAGGCACTTGGCCTGGGGTTGGACATTAGCTTTTTAAAAAATGAAAAAAGATTTGTTTTGTTTTGTTGGTTTTCTTGGTGGTGGTGGATAATTGGGTTTGTTTGTTTATTTATTTGATGGAGGTACTGGGGATTGAACCCAGGACCTCGTGCGTGCTAAGCATGCGCCTTACCACTGAGCTATACCCTCCCACATTGGACAGTAGCTTTGGAAGAGATAATGGGGCAGAGAGTGGGGCAGAGAGTCAACTCCGCAAGGAACAGAAGTTCTGGGAAGTGCCACACATTGCATGTTTTCGTCTGCAGCTGTAAAGTGGGATAATGACTCTGGTCCTGGGTTATGAGGATCAGAGGTCATTATGGAGAAGGTGTATGGGTCCAGTCAAAGATGACTTGGGAAGACAGGGGATCAGAGACAGCAACAAGTCTCAGCAGGCTGTTTGCGGCTTGCATTAACTCCAAGGGGACCCAACACTTTTACGGCCAGTGGTTGTGGCTTCTCACACCCTGTACACCTCTGCTCCCTCTTCCCCTCTGCCAGATAGACTCTACTTTCTGCACCAACAGAAACCTTTTCTCCTTCTCTCCTAGTGTAAGAATGTGCAAGACTCCATAGCAGATGCTGAGCAGAGGGGAGAGGATGCCCTCAAAGATGCCCAGAACAAGCTGTCTGAGCTGGAGGACACCCTGCAGAAGAACAAGGAGGACCTGGCCCGCCTGCTGCGTGACTACCAGGAGCTGCTGAGCACCAAGCTGGCCCTGGACGTGGAGATCGCCACCTACCGCAAGCTGCTGGAGGGCGAGGAGTGCCGGTGAGGGGCCCTGGGTCCACCCTTTCCTCTCCCGGAGCCAGGGCTGGAGGCAAAGGCAGGGAAAGCGGGGCTGGGGCAGAGCCGTCTGATGGCTGAGAGCCGACGTCACTGTGTTCCTCGAGCAGAGATTCAGAACACAAAGTAACACTAAGAGCTGTAGACTTCTCAGTTTGGAACAACTAACAAGGCAGATGAAATTTTAAATTAAATTAAGCAGTAAGTTAATCTTGGTCTTTTCTGAGAGAGAAAACAACTTCTATCTGCACAGATCAGTCCTAGACAGTCTCTGGGTCTGCAGGGTGTGTGGCCTTTCCTCCCTCTGCTTTGTGACCCAGAATAGGGAGGTTGTGGGTGGGAAGGAGCTGACTGGCTGGGGCATGTGCACTCAGAGCAGGTGCTCAATCTAGTTCTTTGCAGGTATCTGGAGTGACAAATGGAACCATTCACTAACCTCCAAAGGAAGCCTTTCACTCCTCTGTGGTCTGAGACCTTTGTCAGTGCCCTCAGCATCCCTGGTGACTAAATCCCGCAGAAGGGACTAGAAGGGAAAAGCTACCAGGGCCACCAGCAAGCCAGTATGACAGAGACGGAGGGCTTTGCTCTGGCTGTGGCTCGGTACCCGTTGGCGAGGCCAGGCCTCCTCTCTCCAGCTTGCAAGAGGAAGTGGGAAAGATTTCAGATGAAGCGAGGAGGGTCGGGCAGGAGGGCGGGATAGGGAGGCTGCACAGAGTCACAGTTCTCTCTGAATTGCATGTTCACAGTGTAGCCTTGCTTCAGAGTTTCTGCTGTGGCTTGGATTCTGAGTATCAGACTCCCTAAAATGGATTTAAATAAAACTGTGGCTTGTCAGGTCAGAAGTGAATTTGCTTTTGACCATTTTTATCAGAGAGAAAAATTGAGAGCTGGATTGGGATGCCAGGTCTTGTGGAAACGTGAAGCCCGTCCCCCTCTCTGTGACCTGGCAACGCAGAGGAAAAAGGAGCTGTGTAAGGCCCTGGTGGCTGAGTTTCGAGGCTGATAGGCACGTGCGTAGGGAGGCTGTAAAATAACATGTAGGCTATACCTAAGCGCTCTGCCAGGAGTTAACATTCTCTCCCTCTCTCTGACAGGATGTCTGGAGACCTCAGCAGCAGTGTGACTGTGTGTAAGTGATGGGGTGTGGTCCTGCCCGAGGGGGCGGTGCGTCCAGCGGGCGGAGGCGGGGCCGAGGCAGTCAGAACTGCCGCGTAACAGCATCTCTCTCTGCAGCTGTCACGAGCAGCACCGTCTCTTCGAACGTGGGGTCCAGGGCTGGTTTTGGAGGCCATGGTGCTGGAGGTAGAGGGTCCGGTTCTGGAGGAGGAGGATACAGCTCTGGAAGCAGCAGTTATGGCTCCGGAGGCCGAAGGTCCAGCTCCAGAGGCAGTGGTGGAGGAGGCTCTGGCTCTGGTGGCGGGTATGGCTCTGGAGGAGGATATGGTTCTGGAGGAAAACACAGCTCTGGAGGCGGCTCCAGAGGAGTCTCTGGCTCTGGGGGAGGGTCTGGTTCTGGAGGAGGATACAGTTCTGGAGGTGGCTCCATAGGGGGCTCTGGCTCTGGGGGAGGGTACGGCTCTGGGGGCGGCTCCAAAGCGGACTTTAGCTCCGGAAGGGGAGGTTCTAGCTCAGTAAAGGGTGGTTCTGGCTCAGGTGAAGGTCACGGTTCCAGCGTGACCTTCTCTTTTAGATAAAGATGGAGTCCTGCCCTTGACTCTCCCACTCCAGAATGTAGATTACTGTCTCTGTCCATCTGATTGACAGGAAGTCAAATCTGGTCATTCACCTCTGATGGTATCTTTTGGGGGAGAGGGATGCCCACATACAGTTTCTGAAATATTTTCTCTCCAAACCAGTTAGCTGGAGCCAGTGACACCCTCAGTCCCCGAGGGAAGAGTCACACATTGTTAGGTGTGTGCTTCCAGCTGTGCTCCCATTCCTGGCCCCTTCTTGCATTGCCCATTGGGCGGTCCTTTTTCCAACCAATATTCCGTTGAGGACCCCATCTCGAAGCCTGCACCTTTCCCCTGGCAGTGCCCCCAGGGAAATGTGTTTCTGTGTACATAGCCCTCTTGTTGGCTCAGTGTCTAAAGTGCTGTGGTCTTGGTGTCTGTGCAATAAACTTCATTTGCAATTCACAGCATGTGGTGTGTGTTTAATGTCAAACCTTGGCAGAGGTGGGTAACCAGGAGCTGCAACTCATTGCTATCTAACTTAAGACACCAGAAAATGGACAGCTTTGGAAAGGATGGGGAGGGAAGGCTTCCTGGAGGAGGAACATGCCACCCAGGGGCAATGTGGCCCAGAGAAGCCAAGGGTGTTTTCTTCTGGAAGTCTTTAAGAACAGAGGCGAGCAGGGGCTAGCTCTGGAGTCAAGAGATGGGTGTGGTGTTCTTGAAAAGTATCCGCCAGACCTGGGGACTGTGATATTGCCAAGAAATCGACAGGGGAACTTGTAAAAAATTCTCTTTTCCAGAAAAAGCCACTCTTCTTAAGCATTTTCCCACAGACTGCCCCCCTCCCCTTCTCACAGGAGCTCTGATCTGAGGCTCCTTCTCCTCAGGGTGAACCAGTGGAAGCCCCTGAGCTCCCATCCAGGCTGTCTGCAGCTCTGAGCTGCCTTGGAAGCCTCTTTCCTTCTCTGCACCATACTCTTTCTTCCCTGTCAACTCAAATGAGTCTTTAGCTTGCCTGCTCCAGGAAGCCCTCTTGAATGGAATGTTCATGTTTCTTCTACTTGCTGTGATGTGGGGAAGGCCTTGCATAGGAGTTGAGAGACTTGAATGCTGATCTTCATCTTGGAGGAATTGTTGGGCACTGGATGAGTCATTCTTCCTCCCAAGGCTCAAGTTTTGCACCAGTTAAAGGAGATGAAAAGAGAGAATCTCTACAGATCCCTCCAGCTCTGATAAAAAGAGTGCTGTCTGTGCTGCTAGGTCAGCCAGGCTCCTTTATTAAGCCTCCCCACCTAATGGGGGGTCTGGGACACAGAGTCAGGAGAGAGGCTTAGAGGCACTGGGTGTGGATGGGTGTGAGCACCTGAAGCTCCATGATATTTTCATCCTATTTCATTTGAGTTCAGCAAATGTCTGTTGGACAGTACTGCATTTGGCTGTTTTGGGGGTACCAACACTTACAAGAGACTGCATCCTGCCAGGAGCTTACAGTCCAGTTAGGGAACAGGTAAGATATTTACAAATAGCTATCAAGACAAGGCAGTATATAATTAAGAGCTACTCGGAGTAAAGGCGGTACCTTAAAATCACCAGGGGAGCTCATTTAAAATGCACATTCCTGGTTCCAATGACCCCCTCTGCCCCGAGTTTTCACTACAGAAGATTGGAGTGGAGCCCAGAAATATGCATTTTAAACAAGCTTCTAGATGAGTCTGATGTTGGTGATGCGGGGAATCATGCTTTGAGCAAGGAGGGTACAGGATGATGGCGCAGGGGAGATAGCTCAGATTCCTGGCTGGGGTCCAGAGGAGGAGACCAACCAGGCGAGGTGGCTGAGTCCTGCCAGTGTGCACAGGTGTGTGGAATGACTTCTGCCAGGCCTGCAGCTTTAGGGGGAAGGGGAGAATTAAGGGTCCGAGATGGGACCACTGGCCAGTGTAGTAACCTGCTTTTTCCTGGCCTGAGTGAAAAGTCATGGGTGGAGCCTGGGTCCAGAACGTTCCCTCAGACAGCTGCTGTCATAGTTATGGTGTGACCAAAGGAAGAGATCAGGGTCCCTGGCCTGCCGGAGTGTTTTCTAAAGGAAAGGCTGCTTCGCTTCCCTGCGGTGGGGTTTGGAGTCTCACAGGGCTTGACTGCTTCTATTATAAAAATAATACTTGCTCATTATCTCAAACTTGGAAAAATAGTTGAAAAATTTAAAAACTAGCCATTACAGGAAATAACTAGCATTAACATACACACACACACACACACACACATATATATATAATATTTTGAATGCATTTTTCTAAATTATTTAGCTTTAGTCATTTTATTTACTTCTTTATTTAATGTTGAATATTTTTTTACTGAGTTATAGTCAGTTTACAATGTTGTGTCAATTTCCAGTGTAGAGCACAATTTTTCAGTTATACATGAGCATACCTGTATTCATTGTTGCATTCTTTTTCTCTGTGAGCTACCACAAGATCTTGTAAATATTTCCCTGTGCTATACAGTATAATCTTGTTTATCTATTCTGCATATGCCTGTCAGTAT